AGTGATCCGAGTGTCCCCGATGCTGACGGAGAGTAGGAGAAGCGACATGGAGTCACGGAAGAGACGAAGAAATGCCCGAAGAGGCGAGGACAGCCTAATCACCGGTGACATCCAGCACCGCCAACTGACACCACCCTGGACCACGAAGAAGATGTCACGACGCGAGGATTCCCCGAAACCGGAGACTTCGCCGCAGAAGAAGAAGAAGAGAACTCAGTTGAAGAGTCCGGAGAGGTCTCAGAAGAAGAAGATTCCGAAAAAGAAGCCCGTGGATCGCGTGCTATGGCGTAGTAAGAAAAGCAAGAAGAATAAGAGCTGGAAGAAGTTAGCGAATTTATTCCTACTCGATGAAAATATCGAGTGTTTGCAAAGAACGAGATAAACTGGTCGAAAACGTAATCCAAAATTCATTTACACTTTTCAGAAGCAAAATGGCGTCGCCGAGCCTCGGCCTGTCGAAATGCTCGCCCAGCAAAAGCGAAGAGAATGTGCAGGAAATGAGGAGAACGCGAAGCTCGTGCAAACAGCTGGTCGAGAGGAAGCAGGACCAGGGGGATCGTAGGGCTAAATCTCCCCGCGCGAGGGTGGACGAGGACGAGAGTGCCAGGAAAAATATTCGAGGCTCGAGCAACGAGGACAGGATCAGCGGGAAACTCAACGGGAACGAAGTCAGCGAAAGAATATCGATAGGACGTAGAAAATCGACGACCAGCAGAGAAGATGTTCCGAGAAATATGAACCCACCATCCTGGAATCTCGCGAGGGAAGTGGAGGGTCAGTTGGACGCCCCAAACGAGGACAATGCTCGGAATGACGCGACTGAAAACGCGATTTAACTACACACGAATATATATACAACGAAGAGAAAACGAGGTGGATTGACAGAAGCTTTTATTAAATTTTGGAATACTGTATTTTGCGACAGCCGTTTACCCAGCGAGCTCACAATCGACTAAGTCGATATTTAATTTGACTACGGTTGTGCTCGGTTCTCCACTTTTGTAACTATATAAATTTGTAATAAAACAAGCTTCTCAAAGCGAAATGTATTATTAACGACGACCTTCCAATTTCGCGAATCGTTATCGACGATTTTCACACACAGCGACTACTTAAGGGAAGCTCTTGGAATTACTCGATCGTAACTCCGAGACGACGTAAATTTGCCGCGGGAGATCAAGTTCGCGCCAGATATTGGCCATTTCGATTTTTAAAGTCCATTCCTTGGGTTAGAGCTTCTCCGAAAGCTCCGGACGTCGATCGACGACCTTTCAACTCCACTCGGCGATGCGGAGGATTGAGGATCAAGGTGGTCGAGGATATTAATTTTGTAATAATTCATCGACACGATGTCGAGGGGTACGAGTCGATAACGAGACCCCAGCATGTTTTCTCGATTGTTTAAGGCTACGTGGACGCTCTCGAAATGTGATGTTTAGCCTCGTCACACATGACGCACGATTTCGCGATCGTCGCCATAATTCTGCTCGCGAAAAATAGACGGAAAGATTGACAGACAGAAAATATTTCGAACGTTACAATAAAAAACACTATTTTGTAGTAGGGCAGATTTGAATTCGATAGATAAATTTAAATAAAATAAGCAAGAAACTGAGATGAAGAACGCGGGGTGTTTGTTGACTTATTTCAAAAATAGCGAATTAAATTGATCGTTTTATGCCGGATTTATCGCAACTTCCAAGGGATTATTCGAATAATAAAAATTGGAAAATTTTTATACTGGCTATCCTCACGCTGAAATCTGAAATTTTTGACAACTTCGCGTGCCTAATAAATAAAATAATTGAGCGAGAAAAAGAGGAGCAGAGGAAATGCAACGCCTGCTATTCGACTCACGCGAAAGAAGCGAAAAGCGTGGCCGTGAGATTAGGTCTTTCATTGTTTCTCAAAAAGAAGAAGAAGACGTGGAAGGAAGCAACGGTTTCGCACGGCCGATCGTGCCTCTCTTCTTCTCATCAATGTCCTGGAAATTCGTAGCCAAAATTTCGCGCCACGACCGATCAAAAACCTAGAAAAGTCAGTGGATCCACGAAGTCTCTGCGAGAGGGTGGCGGCTGATCTGCAGGTGCGGACTTCCAGAAGAATTTCGGACCCAACAGTAAGCACAAAATGGCCCCCATAAAGAGACGTCATACGCGAAGGAATCACAAGATGAGTGAGTGACGATCTTGAAAAAGACTTGAACGAAAATACGAAAAGACAAAATTCCTTAGTAATAAATAAATCACCGCAAATGTCTCTTTTTCGCGACGACAGAGGACAAATTATTTTAGAACTTTGAATAAAATTTCGGAATATTTATTCTTCCATTAAATATATCTCGGCTACATCGATATATACGGGAAAATTATTTAATATCATAAATTGAAAAGTCAAACAATGAAATAAATATTCTTTAACTCGGAATTAATTAAAATTTTATTAAATCCGAATGACTAAAATTCTTAGAGACAGTTCAGAGGGAAGAACAGGCTTTTTCGTTTCGTAACAAAACGATGGCCACTTTGATCCCTGCAAACACGGGTGAACACGGTTGGTTCAATCGACGCGGAATCATTGGGATTAAACTGCTCCCAAAATGAAAAATCGTGGTTTACAAAACAACACGTCTGTTTGGCTGACATTTTGACCCGTCTATAAATACCACCAAAGCAAGCATTCGTCGTGCAATATATTTTTTCTTCCCGTATTTATTATGTTTAGAGACGACACCCACGTTCCGACACTTTGTATCCCTTCCGTCGTTTTTCAATCGATTCCTACGAACTCGAATACCAAGTTTCGCTCAATATTTGCAACAAGCAGCGTGGTACATCGTTGAAAATTTCTCTCGTGAATTCCAATGACTGCCTCTCCAACGCCTCGATAGTTAAACTCGAATTGGCCAGCTGTGAAACGTTTCGTTTGGTCGCCATGTTGCACCTCGAGCAACAGTCTCCTCGACGATCAGCGAAACAAATATCTCTATCCAAAATTTCCGAAAAATGAAATTTTCCATCGTGTCAGATTTTCAGGACCCAAAGATATTTTTCAGAACAATTGGAAAATTTTTAAATTCCCAGTTCAATTTCTGGAATGAAAAATTTCATATATCGAAATTACCCGAGTTCCCGAATTCCTCTATTTTGACCATTTTACACCATTGAAATTTCTCGCCTCGCGAATCCTCGAGTGTTTAAGATCGATACACTCTCTTGGCAACTTTGAAAGAATCATATGCCACTTTCCGTTCTTGAACTTTCACCAACCGAAGCTTTCGGTCTACTCGAAACGTCAAATTTCACTCGTATCTCGTGACAGCCTCTTAGGAATTCCAATAAATGCCCGCATCCCATAAAATCCACTTATCTTTCGCACCTAAACCAACAAACTATTCGCCGACACATTTACTCCACCCATTCGGTCGCATTTCTTCGACACCCAGGAACCGGAACTAGAACACGTCGATTTTCTCTCAACGCTAATTCCAATTTCGAAAGTGGAATTGCCAGAAATCGAGAATTAAATGCACACAGAGAGAATCGAGACTGTTGGAACGAAATTTCTTTTCGCGTAGATATACGAAAGCTGGAATAATTCGTCGCGTTTCAGAACTGCGGCGTCGTAAACCGAACATCCCTAGCCTGGTGTACAAATTCCTCAGCCTGAACGGATGCAAAAGGGGTGGTGTCGAGTCGTCACGGGGCAGCGACGCCGCGAAGTGCCGGGTTTGCAAGCGACCAAAACAACGCGAGGAAGTTTTAGATTCTCTGGATTCCCGACTTGGCGATAGCATGGCCAACAAACGAAAGGACACGGGCAGGAATTCCAAGATTCGCAGAGTGGAACGACGGCGAACCTCCAGGGACCAAACGCTCTCGTCCTGCGTGCACGGGACCAATGGAGGGGAAGGTTAGAGGAATGAAAGCGAATGAGATTTTGGTGGAAGATGCTTTTCCACTATGGTACACACTGTGCCCGTCTTAATTCGTCCCGTGAATCCTTCGGGAAGAATTTATGACACTGTTTCGCGAATGATAAATATTTTTTCGCGAAATTTTTGGGGTGAAGTAGTTCCCGGTGTTATTAAATTGCGGTACTGTATTCTTGAAATTTTTGTACGCGAATTTTATTATCTTTTACGATGTTTCGATGATCGAATAATTCTTTGAAGTATTCCTTTTTGATCATAATTTATACGTAACGAAATAATTAACATTTTCAACGCCGACGCGGAGAGGAGAAACGGGAGGATTTGGTTGAGCACAGTTCTGATAAATTGGCTCACTATCCACGCTTATTTAAAGGCACTCCTGGCATCGTATAACGAACTGTTCGTGCCTGAAAATGATTATTTAGTATTTGCTAATTGGCCCGACCATAATCGTTCTTCGGATAACATTTATCATGGTCCGGGGATTATTGTAATTGTTTAATGAGCGTAAAAAGGGTGGAACAATGGGTGTTGATACTTTTTATTGCACCGTTACGTAACGACTACGAAATGATTAATTAACACAGCGCGGCATTATCATTACTGAAAACCGATTAAATGACGATCCGATTCGCCAAATCTCGCGTGTAATTTATTTAAATAAAACAACGAACACCGCCGCGTCTACGAGTAATTATCGAAACATAATTAACCGTTCAGTCGAAATGAACAGTCTTCGCTCTCAATTTCTCAGTAAATCGACACCGCGATGTTAATCAAGACCCAAAAGTATCAACACACTCGAAACATTTAATATTACACCGATTACCATCGATATTTTATTTTATTCGCACGAAGACCCGATAATGTATACCTATTTATCTTCGTTATACCACTTCGGGTATTATCATCCATCTATACTACACGTTTACCGACATTTTCCGACGTCGCAAATTCGATCATACTTTCCACGCTATTTATCGATCATCATTCGCAAAATTAAATTAATTATTCGAACGAGACGTTCGTTTACATCATTTCACGTCGCTCTTCAGGGGTAAGGAAGATGAAGAGGTACATCCATAAGGCGATCGATTTCGGCGTGGAGTCCGGCTATCTTATTCCAAAGGATGCGGCGTACAAGGTTCTCCGGGTATCGTCGGATCTCATGAACGACGGAAATTACTCGAGCAAACTTCGAAAGTCGGATAGCATGGTTTCACAGGCCGGGGAGAAGAGTTCTCGGTACTTGCCGATTAGGTTCGAGGATTACGAGGCGCAGGACGCCAGCAGGCGGCGCAGGAGAGGCAGGAAAAGGTCCAGGCGAAGGAGGTCGAGGAGCAGGTCCAGGAGACGACGAAGGCGATCGCGCAGACGCGGAAGAAGGCGTGGCGGGTAATTACGTGAAGTTAATTTTATTAGCCTCGTAAGTTAAACTTTCGCGCAGAAATGTATGCGCGGTATTACTTCCTCTGTGTTAGCCCTCGAGAAAAGTACTTTACGAGACTCTAATTAAAGTATCGCGGAATATATACGTCAGGATTACTTGGACGGATATGGATACTTTATTGTTCCAAATTTCCCCGACTCGTAATATGTAATTTGTAAAATGTAAATCGTGGAATGTAATCTCGAGTGGTATCGTTGGATCACGTGTAATCGCTACGGGGAAGATTAGATTGCTTAATTTCGATTTGTATTCTGCACTTTGCCGTACTGCACTCCGCGATAAGGAATGCAGGCAGATGAATAGCAACCTTTATCGCGTGCAGTATGCAATGCAAAATGAAACGGAGTATCTTATTTCCATCCGGATTCCATCCAGAAATACCAAACAATTTTATGGAACGCAGAAAAAGAAAAAATCGATATTGCGGGATGCCAAAAACAGGTTTTATATTGTCCTCGGGTTACATGAGTAATGTGTACTTATTTTATCGAAGGAATATTGGATCTGCGCGAGCGATTTGAGACGACCGGAAATGGATAGAACAAAATGAACAGAATGAAACGAATACCAAACGCGAGAAAAGAATATTGGAGTAATGTAACTTTACACACGGAAAACACGCTTTTATTCGTCTGTCTCTGACACAGAATGACTGACGTCCATATCGGTCACGAGCTATTTTCAGGAGGCTTCTTCAAGGCTTCGCCACTCAGGATTCTCTCTGTGTCGTCCGGGCTCCTGCTTTTATGCCCCTTGCAAAGCTTGACGACATGCTTGTATCAATCGATAATTGACTGATATGATTCAGCCGATTAGCGATTTTCTCTCGTAAAAATCATGCCATCTTGCCGATCCATGATTTGTTCCCTGTGACGATCACGATTTCGTTCATCCGCGTTTCACCTCCCCATAAAGACCACGCAACTCAGGTAGCTTATTTCTAAAAATTGCCTTCCATAACGGTAATAACTGCTTTTCGATTATTTTTCCTAAAATAAGACCCTACGTTCTCATTGACCAGTTTTCGATTCTTTTTCCTAAAAATGGTATCCCTCAATATTGAAAATTCTTCCTTTTAATTAAGAAGTGATATAGCGGTGAACGTGAAGGTGATAGTTATTATTCGAACGAATAACGCGTTCCAGGTCCCCTGGCGGAGAAGAGGTAGTCGACATCGAGAACGACGACGAGTACAACTCCGATGCTCAGGGTGAGAAAAGAAAAAGCCCGGACAAGTCGGCGAGGAACGGTGAGAAGGAACAACTGAACCAGTCCGATGGAGAAAAGACGACGGACAAGAAAGAGGACGATGGGTCCGATATGTCCATGGACGAGGACGAGAGCGACGTCGAGGAGGAGAAGAAGAGAGAAGACGCAACGAAATCATAGCCGTGAACGAATCGACAAATTGTACGTGAACGTCGGAATTATTCCTCGAACTAAGTGCGAAGAAGCTATTTACGAATTCGACGAAAAATGATAAATTGTCTTGTAGTCCCTTTCTTTTCCCACATGGAAGCCATTTTGCTATTTACGTAGAAACGTTGCTCAATTATGTTATGGTCGTGGTGATTCATACGAGTGTACGGAAATAGATAAATGTTTAGTAGACAATAAAACAACGGAATCGCGAAGTAAGAGGATTTATTTTTCATTCCCCGACTAACTGGCTCATTTGCAAAACAAGCAGAGCTCGATATCATCGAATCCGACTACCAAATCGTATACATTTCGTACACATTTCGCGCCGTATAATTAACTGCAAGTCTGACGTTTATATCGGCGTTTCGATACTTAAATTTCAATTAGAGTAGCTGAAAATAATGCATTTCATCCTAATCTGTGGAATTGTATGTACACGGTACATAATTTAAAAAATTATTTACCACAATAGCGTATAAACAATTAGCAATTTTAATTGTCTTCCCGTTAGTGAGACAATTAAATAGTATGTTCGACGTTTTCTTTCGCTGGTTCATTTTTGCCTTTCGCTATGGTATCGTTTTGACAAGCTCACAGCAATTCCACATAGTATCAGAGTTAGCATCGAGGAAGCAGACTACATTTTCCTACGCTCCACCCTGAAAGCGGCGTTCATAAAACATTCCTATCGTGTTCCGTTAATACTCCCACATAAATTCAGACCATCATGCGTTCCCAGCGTCGTGGCCCATAAAGCGTCAGCCTAATTTCCCTCAACCGCCCTTCACATCGACTCTAAGAGCTCTTTCACACGACGATACTTATATCGCGATGCTCGTGTTGATACATATCACATTTTCATGCGATATTTTATCCAGAAATTCCAAAAATCATCAACTCTTCTATTTTCTGATAAATTATAAATACAAAAATCCACAAAAAGATAAATGAATAAATAAATAGTGTCACGCTACATATAGTATACGCGATACGTGATCGATCAATCGAGGATACTTAATAAAAAGAAAATTTGTACGTCGTTGACACTATATGTTACAATGAGAGGAATCTGCTTTATTAATAGGGAGTTCATTTATTTTTCTGTTTGACTTCACTTTTATTGTCATCAAATATAAGTTTACAGGGAATTATAAAACCATAAGCTACTCAGTATTGTCGTGTGAAAGAGCTCTAACCCCAAGAAAAACCCTTACACCTGCGGACCTGGCGACCCTCGCCATGGAGCGTTCACCTCCGGCCCAAACGAATAAATGACCCTGGATGGAATTATTAAAAGACTTTGTGCGAGGGTTGGAGAGGGTAAACAGCGGGAGGGTGCTTTTGTAATTCCGCGGACTAAATAGTTCACTGGGAGCAATAACAGTCGGTCAGCGACCTTTCCGGTAGCGACGAAATTGACCACGGGCCAGCAGGAACTCGACTCTCCAAGAGCTACCTCCTACCTCGATGTTCGTCACGGAGTCACGGAAGTAGCTCTGGATCGATGATCTATCATAGATGGACGAGGTTGATCGAGCCATTCGAGGTGTTCCGTATGGCATTCGCATGCGGAAACCGCATCCCAAGGGACAGAAGGGCTGCCTCGTGAACCTTAATTGGATAGGAACGAGGGACGCCTGCAACAGGGTTGAAAACATCAGCGGTGAACGCAGGAAAGTCCCGTGTTTTGTTTCTCCCGACTTTTATGAGTTTTTCTTCGTTACCGTGACTCGTTGTTCGGTTATCGTGTACGTGTCCCGCTGGGAAACAGGGATACGTGTACACAAAGGGTGCATATGGGGTGAGACATCCAGGCGCTGGGGTTTCCTGAATTTCTTCGATTCGTTCCAGACAGCAATTTCATTTCTTCTTCTTCTACAAATATTTATTTTGCATTTATTTTTACCATAAAAGCATTCCCTCCCTTTTTAAACATAAATTTTAGATACAGCTTAAGTAATTTCTTTCTTTCCCAATTTCTCAATTGGTTTTCTTACAGCGAGTACGCGTTGAATTTTTAAGATACGTACCTCGATCGTAAAGGTAAGATCTGGTGTATTTAATTGGAGATCTCTGTCGAACGTATCGAAACAATGCTTCGGGAAGTCTCGTATAAATGACTGGATACTTCCGCGTAACTAAAAACTTTGCAATCAGATACGTCATTATCTCTGTCGCATAGAGTTTCGCGACGTGTAACGCACTCTTTGAAGAAACTATTCGCACAGTCTCGTCAAGATTCTAACGATATACCGTCATGGATACCGATCATATCCACGGACGTGGAACACCTCGCTGTTATCTATCGAGGAAAAACACGGAATTTAATTAATCAGTGAAAATGCGCGTGCACTGATTTACATTCGATTCGATCTAACTCCCTTTCAACGTTTTACTTAATTCGTAGCCGCACGCTATCGTTCGCGAAATCCGTTCGTACAACCCACACTTTTTCCCAACTTCCGTTGCTCAGACTTCTAGCGGTACGCTCGCGAAACGAATCGTATTTCCTCGCAAGTATGCTAGTAAAAGCTGTGGCAATATCCACCTCCAGTTGAGTAACGGAACCAGTTACTACATTCAAATAGTTATTCTGGAATATCGTACAACATGGATACCAAAAGGATTACCCGAACGTGAGCCATGGAGAAACGAAACAGATTTATTCTCATTCTCGACGGTGGGAGTATCTAAATGAGGTCTAACCGAAATAAAAATTTAAAGAAAAATTCAATGCGTCGCCTGTACGACTCGCACGATCGGAGAGAATGCTAGAATAATTTTCTCCAGGGTCCCCAGGCCACGAAGGGCGGAATCAAAGGGAACCGCGAGCCCCGCATCGTCTGTCGCCAAAGTTCAACGCTCGGAGCTCGCAACCCCACGGGGTAGGTCTCCAAAAGACAGCTTCCGATCGCGTTCTTTTTCAACCCTTTCCAATTTCAACCACAATCTTCCCTAGCCTCCAGACACCCCGCGACATCATCCCGCAAAATTTTTCCGCGGGCGTAATGCCGCCAGTGCCATTCGCGACATTACACGAAGACCGTGCGCGATTTTCTGGAGAACGAGTCAAGCACGCCGGTCCAGTGGCCTCCGGATCATCCTCCGGTAACTCGTATCCATGGCCAAGCACTTGACCTTCGCCAGCCCGTGAACCCAGCCCCGAAAATTTACGACCGGTATTCTGTCCGTTCGTTCCCTCGCCTCTTCTGCCGGCGTGTCCTCCGTCTTTGTTTGTCCGACGACACCCTGTCGCGCGTTGTCCTCGTCTCACGCGGACCACGGTGCACCCGATCGATCGTCGACTGCACTGTCGACGAAGGGCGCAACGTTTCCCGCTTCGACGGCGCACAATGCGACGGAGCCGCGGCTTTTCAACCTACCCCGTGGCGAAAGTCGAGAACGGTGTTCCGTGGTTTGGCAAAAAGCAGCTGACGACGAGCCGGATGACACGCTCGGCGACGTTGGTGTAGCTTGAGGTTAGGGGATGTCGAAGGGTGGCTCATGTATTCTCGCTTCGTCCCCCTGGCTGCTGGTTCCTGTTTCCTTTTTTCTGTCGGCTTTTCGTTCGCTGTAGTTTGTCGGATCTAATCTGCTGGATTAAGGACGTGGAATTAGAGCGTCGCAGGACGCTCCTGCGGTGGGTTTGTTGGCAAGTCCAGTCGGAGTTGGTCGAGGCAATCCCTGAAATTGTTAAATGGCAGATTAGTCGCGGGTGATGAGAGTGATAAGAGAATTCATTTTCTGAAAAGAATCAAGGAGTTCTTCACGTTAATTGATAATTACGATAATTAATTAAGAGTACATGCTTGATCGCTAAGCAATCGGAAGGAAGCGTTGAATGCGATTTGTGCTAGGGAATTGGAGGACAAAATTTTGGCAAATACTTGAGAATTGTTTTTTGTGTCATTTGGAAACGTGCTTTAATTATCCAAAAATTAAACACAGTGAATAAATACACGCAGGAGCACTCTCTCAAAGACAACAATAATACATGGACGATGACTATCATCCCCTAAAACACTTGCATTAACCAAGAACTAAACATCGTGAATAAAAACACGCAGAAGCACTCTGACAGGAAGCAATGATACATGGACGACGTCTGTCATCCCCCAAAATTCTTCAATTAACCAAAAACTAAACATCGTGAATGAAAACATACAGAAGCATCCTCTGAAAGACGGTAATGCTGCATGAACGATGCCTATCATCCTTCAAAATACACACGCTAATAACAACATAACCTCTTTCTCGACTACCCCATCCTATCTTCGTAGCAAACGCTCCTCCAAAACCATCCCATTAAACTTTCACCCCGGACTCTCCATTCACCCCGAAGAATTCTCCCCTGGCACGCATACACCCACTCCCCCGCAATGAGCATCGAACCCACGGAAAATCAGGCGAAAAAAAAAAAAATCAAAATCAAAGATGCAAAGTGAAAATTTCAAAATCTGAAACGGAGTGTGCGATGGGGGAAATTTAACTACAAAAATAATATAAAATCGAGAGTTCGAGGAATATCGGAGGACGAGTGGCGAACGTCGACCGGTCGACGATTGCGCACCACGTGGCTGCGAGTTCGCGCCAGTAGGGGTAGGATAGTAGGGGTAGACTGCGCCTGGTCGGGGGTAGGGACAGAGGCGGTGGGGTGGGGGTAGGCTGGCGTCCAGCGGCGACAGACTCACCCGACCCCCTCCACGCGATTCCGTGGCTCCAGAAGGAAAAACGACGGCTTCAGTCGGCACGCGGCGTCGCGACGCACTCCATCGTATACGCGTTTGGCCGAACGGCACGATCCTCGAGCTCGCCGCGAACCGCGACCACGAGATTACCGCTTCCGGGGTGGCACGGCTTTGTGAAGTGACGGAAGACGAGTTTTCTCCATCGCTCGGTGCACCGTGGACGTTCCTTGAACTTCGGACAGCCAGGCGACCGTGAACGTCCCTCCGTGTCGCGACCCTCGGCCGATGGTGAGTCTCGAAGGAACTTTTCTCCGTTGCACGGAAAAAGGAACATCCGCTCTCTCAAGTTTTCTCGTTGCTTTTCACATGGAATTTTAGATGTCTCCGTATTCTCGTCGGTTGTTACCAGTTTTAAGGTATTTCTCGCTTCCTTTTCGCTGGTAGAGGATTGTGCTTCGACGGAAGTTGTCGGGAACCATTCTGAAACAAACGTAATAATAGAGCGTTATATATAACTGTTGAGTGTATTTTTTTTTTCTTTTTACTTTTGTTTCGAGAAATCAGTTCGTCGAGCACGAAGTTGAAAAGAAATATCGGAATTATCGACAACGATGTCGATCCGATACACCTGGCTCTGCGATCTATCGATATAAAGACGCGTTATTTTCCCGATACTCGTAATAATCACATTCCACAATGTTGCATATTAATTTCGAATTGTGAAACACGCGAGGAATATAATAATGGAATATATTAATCGTCGGGTGTGATTCCTTTCGCGAGAACAACAAGAATTCGCGTTAAAATCGAGCGCGAATAAATATGGAAATTATCCGTGACATGAAAACGGATATTTTCCGGTCCCCGTGCCGATTATGCTCCACGATTTTCTACGTTAATTTCCCGAGGTAAAATGCAGCAGGAAACGCAACGCGAGCCAATATTGATACAAGGTTTAACATCCGTTAATGCGGATGTGGACTCGAATGCCACGAATCCCGAGTGCATATTTACGGTGTCTTAAATTCAATGGGACGTCGAACGCTATCAATTATCGCCGCGTTCTATTACATCACAGCATTTCGTGCAATTACGCGGGAGTTAACCAAGCGTGGCTCGCAATAATCGCGATGCATCCGTGTAACGACGCGGTGATGAAACGAGCGGAAGTCGCCTGGGTGATACGCGTTCGCGTAATTACCGGTAAGGCTGGCAGAAAAACCGTATCGATCGAGGCAGGGCCAATTACTGGAAGAAACTTGAGGGAAGAATTCCAATCAATCCGCGTTCGTCTAATTGCTATTTAAATCGGCGGAAGGAATTCGATCGGTTCTCGTTCACGTGGTCGCCTACGGAGTTAATAAAAATGGCCGAGAGGGTAGTTCGGCGAAACGAGGGTGAAGGACGAACCCTCCGAGACGGGCATGGTTCAACTATCCTGCAACTTTCCGCGTTTCTATTGATATTGTCTAATCTCGGACCGGGAACGCAGGGATTAATTATGCAGCACGCGAATGCAGCAAGTTGCAAACTTTCTAGGATTCGGTGATCATCGATCAGAAAGTATTGTACTATTTTCTTTTAAATAGATATAAAAATTGGGGACAAACGAGACGGATAACATTAAGATGTCTTAATTTTGATATCTCGTTTCTGACAGGAGAATTTTTTGTCCGAATGTTTCCGACAACTTTTTGGTTTTTAAATTATAATTTATTTCGTGTCAACCCCCTGTTGAGGGTTCCTACAGTTTTCGTATCAAGTATTTGCTGTTTCTCTTTTAATTTCTAAGCGTAATAGGCTCATTATTACGTAAACGTTTCTTCTAAAACGAGTAATCAGTGATTCCCGGAACATTTTCAAAAAGAAGATTGAAAAGATCCGTGAATTTCCTTGCGAAGTATGCTTACTCGCATTTCTCATCCTCATTAATGCAAATAGAAGCAAATAATAAATTCTAGATCAATAATGTCGCCGTGGCGGCGCGAATGGGGTGGGCAGGAAATAAATTCTAAAAGCTTATGTAATTTCGATGGACATAGATATGTAGCGATCAATTAAAATAAAATGCTCTCTGAACGCGGGATTTTTCACAATTAGGTCGTAGCCCAGGGGGTGAAAGCCTGTCTGCTTTCTCCAGGCCGATCCAACGTTGACTGTCCACCTCTGCACCTAAACGTCCGCGATTCCTCATTTTCCACTCAATTTTCTCTCGCCCGTCCATTTTCATTCGTTTTATCCCCGCTGATAAATTCGAGCTTAAGTTCTCGGTCGACGAGGAATGCCACGGGGTGAAGCAGAAGGAATTTCACGGCGCGGGGGTCGCGTTCTCCACGACACCGGCAACGTATCGCTTGCAACGAAATAAAATCAAATAGTCCCGTCGATGTTTGTTCTGCAAATTGGCCACTTCTATGCAATCTCATCGTAGGCTACCTGACAAATACGTGTAGCAACGGCGCCGAATCGAAGATCGGATCTGAAGGGATGTTCCGAAAGAATCTCCCGTTTCAGGATATATTTAGCCGTTCCTCGTCTCGATTTCTATTTCCTTCCTTGCACCTTGCTTCTCTCTTTTTCGTTACTCGTCCTTTTTTATTCCAGCCGATAAGATTCTAATGTATTCCTCGTGTCCCGATATCGATCGTGCACGGACCCCTCTTTCTCTACCGTGTTTACTAATTAAGCGATCCTACGAAGGACAGTTAAAATATTCAATGAAATCCTCCCCTCGACCTGGGCCCAGATATCCCCCTCGGTATTACGTCACCACGCAATTCGTTCGTTCCCTACCCTTTGGGCGTTCGTTAATATTTATGCGAGCTTGTCGATTCCATGGACGAGCTTGGAATCGGCAATCGGCTTGAATCGTGTCGAACGTCGCGAAGTAATTTCGATCACATTGTTTACGTAATTTGTCGAGAATCTTGGATGTCTTATATTTCGCGACCATTTTTTATTTCTTTTTTATTTTTTTTGCGCGTTGATAAGCAGTAATCCTAGTTTCTATGTATTTATTTTTATCTATTTTTTAACAGATGTGATGGATTTTTAATAGTGTTAGTAGGTAGTGATGCTTATTTTCAGTGCATTTATTTTTAGCTACTTTCTATTTCTCCTATCTCTTCTTACCCTCGTTGATTTCGCGAATTTTTCTTTTTCAATGTATTCGTTCGACGTGTTCTCGTGTTCGTTGTATTTATTTTTATTTCCTTCATTTTGTTTTATTGGATCTGGGGTTTGGGAACAACGCGAACGTTTTTGAAATTGTTGCAAACTCTTTGCTCTTCTGTTCCGCGATTATTTCAACCCCTTGCCTCGTGACATCGAGACGTATTCGTGCCACGGATTACACGTAGTTCCGGTTCAACGAAGTCAGTCTGTATTCGTAACAAAGTTTAGCTTCAACTCCAACTACAGTTTCAATTCTTTAGGCTGTGGATATTATACGTAATTCGAGTTCAACCCTTTCCTATCTATGCCAGTGACATCTCGCTGTGCAACGTCGTTCGAACCATTCTTCAGACGCAATTTCGAAATATGTGCGAGATATATAACCATCGCAAATCGCAAATATTCAAATATTTTTATTACAAACTATAACTATGTATATATATATATTACAATATTTTTAACGTTAGGACTATCGACATGTAATGTCTGCATAAATAAGGTGTACATAAACGATATTACTTAAAGTTACATAATGGAAATAAATAAGTATACATAATTATACTCCTATAAGAAGAATCAATATTAATTTTGCGAAAAGTAGCTGTATATTTTTAATAATTTTAAAAATAAAAATCCTGAATTATGATAATTTTAGTGTTAAACAATATTGCACTGATATGATACTTCAAAATTTAATGATCTACATAAAATAATACGTACTTCCAAGTACATCAGACAATCGATTAACACCTTCGATTTTACTCAGCATTCAATCGGGACGTGAACATACCCACAGCTGCAATTTCCCAGAATTACATTTCCACTGCAAGTACTCGCGTCATAATTTATGGCTTAAAATCGGTGGTGTCTCCCAAACGAGGTGATCACGAGTTCGAGGCTAAAGCGTTCAGAAATCAAATTTATCTGGTCTTACCTTCCCGTCGGACGGACCAATGCGTGGTCCCCTCGTCGAATCGTCGAACTCTCTCGTTCAATTGCCCGACCAGATGAAAGAGGGTGGAAATGAACCCTCGACTCGGTGGTGGGAAACGGGAGCAATTTGTCGAGCGAGTTAGGCGTCTCGGAGAAACTGTCAGAAGGAGGAAATGTGCATAATGCATCGTTAATCTAGGCCGAAGGCTGGCTCGCGATTACATGCACGTCGACGCCACTGCAGCCAGCAGCGTCGCCTGCGCCGGGTCGCGACATTGAATTTTATCCTCTTTGCACGCTTCTGTCTTATATCGCGCTACCTGCCACTTATCTTCACGGAAAAAGTGCATTTTAAAAGGTATTGCAACGATCCTTTTCTCTCCCTCTGTGCCATTCTGGCGAGAAAAAGTTGTTTTCGAGCTCTCGCGAATGTGTTATACCTCGTAGTGCATGCGAAGCTAGGAACGTACGATTTCTTGATAGATTCTTTTATGCGAGTTAACACGATTTGCCGATAGAATAATACCGACTGTTATATCTGTATTTGCAGGAAGGAAAATATTTCGCTTTAAGATTATCCCTTCACCCTAATCTACGAGGAATTATATCTTTATTACGAACTTGAGGAGCAGAATAATCATTTTTGCGAATTATTTATTTCATCTTCCCAGAGGCGTGGATTAAAATTAGAAATAGGATGAAAATGTTTGATAGAAAATTTGTAAAAATATTTCTCGTTATTTATTCCCGTCTGTGGTGGATTGATATCGTGCACAGGTTAGGATCAATCGTAGATTAGGATTAGTTGGAGATAAGATTACGATTATGAGATTAAAATGGCAGGAAAGCGTGTGAAATACGTGGACTGTTTTATAGTAATCGATAGCATACGATTGAAATTTGCGTTTCCTCGAAGAGGATACATTTTTATGTAACAGCGGACAGTATTTTATTAGCAGGAACAGAAAAAGTTCCAGGTTAACAGGTGAAATTTCTCTCGATAATTTATCAGGATAAATAGGTTGCTTCTGTCTGAATCACCCGCGGGTATACCAATAAATTCGAGCTAAGTACGATATCGTATTTCGGGAAATATGTGCCTCTTTGATAAAGCCCGAATCGTTGCCGTATATTATTACCATAAATTCTTTAATTTTTCTGTTCCGCGTTCGAACGGACGCTATTCGGATACGTATATTCCACTCGATTCGTTCGTTTCTCATAATTCCATTAAATTGTACCAACACGGTTAAACGCCGGCATACGTGCACGTGCTATTCTGCAGAGCTATTGATAATATTTATTCTACCCGAACCGTGAAAACGTATTCGAAACAGGTTTTACTGTAAGAATGATGAATTCCGCACGATAAG